CCTCCCCTCCATCCTGCACTGTCTTCCTAGAGAAGAGCAGTCGTGACCCATGCGGCTGCTTGTGTTGATTTCCTCAGTTCTGGGGTATGCTCTCTGCCTGCCAGGATAAACAGACAGGCTTGGGTGATGATGTTTGTTGGAGCAGCTTTCCCAAAAGCCAGCTGGACAAGGAGAGGATTTAGATTTGCCTGAAAAACAAAAGCTGTTGTGTTGTTGGTGTTTCTGAAAGTCATGCAGATGTCTTCAAACAGTAGACAACAAAGCTTTTGTCTTGAGAAAACACTCAGTCAGTTTGTTAACCACGTTACAGGGAAAGACGTGACATCATTTAACTTCTGTTAACATGAGCATACATATTGAATTACAATGAAGTCATGTGGCATTATCCAGTCAATAAACTAATACTGTAAGCAGGTTAAACAATGACATGATCTGAAGGGTGATTCAGGTCATGATTTATGGGTAAAACCGGTTCAGGATCTATATATGTGAATGAAAACTACTGACTGTTACGAAACTGGAATGTTTGCCTGATTCTTCATTTTCATGACTCCTTTCCATCTTCCTCTCTAGTGGTTAAGCCTTTGATTGTTGAAGATACATATCTTCTCTGCCCTGCACCAGTACTTCAAGAGGAGGGGATGTAAGTCCTGTAATGTATTAAAATAAATGTGGGGTTTCATATGACACCATCTACTCTGTTTTTCTACGGCACGGCATAAATGACAGCCGAGACATTTTTCTTTTTCTTTTCCAGGGCAGCAAACCTTTATGTCAGTATGAATGAAGGTCTCAGTTTCATCTCCAGTTCAGTTACCATTTCCACTGTGGGCTGTGTAAGTACAATATAAAGTACCAGCATTTGGCTTTGAAACCTAATTCATTTGGGTAAAAAAACACCAGAAGGGGGGGCCTTCCAGTGCAGCTGGTGCCCTTTTAATATTTTTCACCCCTGCCCCTCAGACAGCCCAAGTCTGCCACTGCTAACAACCAGACTGGACAACAAACTAGTAAACCCAAACCAAAACAGTATAATACAAATTTAGGATGATGAATAAATAAAGTTTTTCAGCATCAGCAGATTCCATTGAAGATAAAAACAACAGCCTAGAGAAGTGGTTTACATACTTTTAGTGCTCTACATTTTCAGAGTCTGTGTTGACGTGTCTGTCTCTGTCACAGTCTGATGGGACCATCCTGGCCATAGCTCTGCTCATCCTGATGCTGCTCCTGGTCTTGGCTCTCCTCTGGTGGTTCTGGCCTCTCTGCTGCACTGTGGTGAGTTTTCTTAAAACTTAAACTAGTGCAATAATAACATGCACACATGCTGCTTTACAGATAGCTTCTGGTCTACTCTTTTCAAATTGCCGATGGCTTCAAACACTTTGAGAATGAAGTGATATTGCTTGTGAACAATAAAATGGAGTTAAATGTATTTTCCAGGTCTCTTTTGTCTGGCTAACAAAGGCTTCGCATTAACCTAAACAACATTCCCATGGTGAGAAGGTTAGAGGCTATGAGTCAATAAGGCCGTGTGTCCCTTTGAAATCTTACAGCTAAATTTAGGCAACAGCCAGAAAGGTCAAGGCCACCGGGTGAACGTGTGTTTTAGTAATTATGCTGCTGTTTAAATAACTTGTGTTTTTATAGGTCACAGCAGGTGACCTCCGAGTCTCACCTCTTAATAGTTTTTCAGTATATTCACTGGCAAACCTAAACTAGTAACACATTCTTCCATCAGTAATGACTAATTTGAATTTCCAGCTAGTGGTGTGGAAAGAAAGACTCAAATAAACAGTTTTGGTTTGATATTTTGTTACTATGAGATTTTGAGAAGCAAGATAACTCAACATAAATAAACAGTGTCATGAGAAGTATTTTTATGACAGACAAAAAACATGCCTGTGACATTATTTAGACAGTGGCCATCCGGCCAGCATCACAACATTTCAGTAAACTCTCCTTCAACCAGCCACTTGCTGTCAAAAACAGTATTTCTTCTTTCAAATGAAGAGTGTGTGTATCGTGTCTCTTCAGAATCCAGTCCAATGTTTCCAGGTCTGGAAACAGGAAAGTTGAGAACTGCCAGAGAGAGATGTCAGCTTTAACAACATGGCTGTCCCTCCCTTTACTTTTTTTCTGTTCTTGTCCATTAAGTTACAAATTCAAGTCCGTGCAGCAAGTCTGTTTAGGAAAGCGATGAGAGGTTGCCATGGGGAAACGTTTTGTGTTCCAGGATTTGGAGAAGCATTGAGGAAAATCACAAATAAGAATCAGAACCCCTTAATTTGCCAAGTGCATTTAATGTAGAAGAAACTGTCTTAAGGCCTATTGCAATTGTGAAAACACACACTGACCGCCCATATTGTGACAGGAAAAGACACGGGGGGATAGTGCAAGGCATGAACCTAAAATAAGATCAAATAATACAATAATTATGAGAGCCTGTTCCGTTCCCTTCTCCCAATCAACAACCTCAGGCCCAAAAATCTGGATAGCAGATTTGTAGGTTAGTGCTTCGCTCTTGTTAAGTAGTAGAGACTTGGGAGGAAAAAAACAATTCCTCAGTAGTGTGTTGTTGTGTAACCATCCTGTTGCACGTTGCAGTGACATGCAGACTGTATGAAAATCCATTTTGATACATGTGTTTGTGACATTTGTGGTCTTCCGACAAAAAACAAAACCTTCCCTCCTTCTCCTCTCATGCATTTTTCCCCCCCTCCACAGATCATCCATGAACCCCCACCACCAGCTCTGGAGGAGAGTTCGGTATGAGCTGCACCGTCTCCACTCAATCTGTTTCTTATGACTCCAAAGAAAAGCCATCTTTTTTAGATTGAGACTGCTGCCAGTGTTCGGTTGTGTGTCTTAAACCTCAATGACAATGCGGTGTCATTCACTCCCTTCTTGGTATAAAACTCAGATTTCACTCATTTAGTAATTAATCCAATGTGAGTTAACGCCCTCTTCAAATAACAGTGAAATCCTGACCACATCCCTTCCTCTGGAGCTTTTTGGACCTTCATGGAATATTTAGTGACAGATAACATCATTTCACATGAATTTGATCAACAAACTAATGTTAATAAAATACATTTTAACTGCCCAAACTGCCCATGAAATAACATCAACCTACAATGCGACTGTGGGACACGTCAGGCTGCATTTATTTGCACCAATTAAGCTGAAAATTAGGTTTAACATGGTAAATCTATTCCAAACAGACTCCATGACAATCACGGCTTCACATACAACTTTTAGCCTTCATTATGGCTGTGGGCTTTGTAATTCCTTTGATCTGACAACCAGTACAGAGGGGACAAAAATAAGGGCTGCTTTTGGAGTGAGGAGGGCAGAGAGAGAGATTTTACTGATGACCAGTGAGAGGGCATTTGTACCAGGCAGCTCCTAGGCATTCATCTGGTGTGCATACATTCATGTAAAACAGTGAAAGATTAGCTTGTTAAATGGTTTATTAATACATCACAAAAAAAACCTACTTCCTGTCACTCTCCCATAGGATGATGAAGACTTTGAAGGCCCTAAGAAGAAATGGCCGACTGTAGACGCCTCCTACTACGGAGGAAGAGGAGTTGGAGGAATCAAAAGGATGGAGGTTAGATCCATAAACCATCTGTTGTGTTAACGAACACGGATAAGGGACTTAAAAGAAACCTGATGAGATGTTACAAGTTTACACATTGGGATTGTTAAAAAGGAATTTTGATCGATTTATGACTACCCCACTTTCAGACACTTGTACTTTCAATCAAATTCACTTTAATTACACATACGCTGCAGTCAAGCATCTCACCTATGTATTTCAAGTCAGACAGATTCACAATTATACACTCCTGACCGTCTGCAGTGTGTGGCACCGTCGTACATCTCTGACTCTCCATACTCCCTGTCATCAGGTCCGCTGGGGTGAGAAAGGCTCCACCGAAGAAGGAGCAAAGCTGGAAAAGGCCAAAAATGCCAAAGTGAAGATGCCTGAACAGGACTATGTGGAGGCCCCCACACGCATTCTCAACAACGGCATGCACAAACCCTCGGGGTCACGCAAGTGGTACTCACCCATCAAGGTAAATTACCAGCCGGGAGGAAAACTGTCTGGGGAATGTGTTTGGTCTGCAGATGCTCTTTCAAATCAACAACTAAAACTGGCAAACATATAGAAACAATGAGTTTCAACTGCTAAACATTAAAAATAATTGTAAAGGATTTGTAAGATATTTGTTTTAAGAAGTCTATGAATATAGCTCAGCTTACATTAAATTATTAAAGTATTCATGGTTTTGGAGCTCTCTGGGATAAATGTTTTGTATGCATGTGAACTGCATGAAGTACAACATCTGTTCAAAATTACCTCATGTTAATCTGGCTGAGGATGTGTAAGTAATAGCATTATTAAAATGTCGTAGTGAAAGTAGCATGAGATGTGTTAAGGTAATAATGCTTAGGTGACTACTGGCACACAGTCCCTTCCTCCAAAGCCAGGATGGGGTTAAAGGAGTCGCTCCAAAGCATTCAGTCAGCGGGGGGGTTGCTAATAGAAACCAGACTTCTGTTGGACTGACCTCCAGGGAGCAGAGCTGCACAGCCAGCAGTTTTGTGAGGAAAAACAGCTGCAATTTCTGCCCTTATCCTCAAAGTATTTGCTGTGTTTAAAAGCTATGAAGAGTCAGTTCACGATTAACTGAAACCATTTCAGTTTGTCACTGTGAGGTGGCTGGAGGAGTCGGATAACACTCGAGCTCGAGAACTGTGCTTATGAGTGACCAGGAGAAAAAACTAAAGAGTCAATAACAGAAACTTGATTGTTAAGAATAAAGGTCATTTTGAGACTAATTAAATGGTTTAACAGTTTGATTTCCTCTCTGTTTCCATAGAGCAAACTGGATGCATTGTGGGTACTTTTAAGAAAAGGCTACGACCGTGTGTCTGTAATGAGACCTCATCCAGGTGACAAGGTAAGGATTACTTAAAAGCCCCACAGGCATGAAACCATTAATCAGCCTAAACTTTACTGACTGACGTAAGGTTTTGGCTACGCATTAGCATTTGGCAAAGGAGGCGATTCTTTTGTATCTGAAAATGTTGAAAAAAATGGACCAGCTGTGAACAATGAAGTGTGCACAGCAGAGAGGCTCATGGGAAAACTTGTGTTGAGTTGGGATTTAGACTGCAGCGTCTGGCTACAGTGCACCGAGTTGTAAAGACGTCCTAGGAAGCCATTATTAAAAAAAAGCAAATGTAATTCCTCCAAGGCCAGCTGTAACGGGGGGGGGGGGGGGGGGGG